TCTATCGGCCAAAATTCTTTTCATAATTATTTGCTAAATTTAGCTTCGAAGTAAAGAATGATTGACTTTTTGCCAAGGAAACGTTAGTATTCGTTAAGATCTAACAAAGCCTAATGTATAGGAAAATCAACTTTTAATGCATATCGGCAAAGTAGAAAAACGCTCGTTTCAAGCCTTTTTGGTGCAAAACGCTTTGTAAAACAAAGAGCGAGTGTAGAACAGTTGTTCAGAGAATTATTTCCAAGCGGTCGACGACCGGTATCGACCCATCGCGTAATTATTAAAGAGTTCCCACTGAGGGGCGCGTTCTTGCCGTTTTTATTTTGTTAAGCCTCATATTGTGTGCGTTGTGAGCTTTGTGGCTACATACTCATTATTTCATATGAATGTGACCCCCATTTAGACTAGCCTATACTTTAAGGCAACTTTAAAATCGTTTATTACTATAGATCAATCAATTTTAGAGGACCAAATCTCAATAACATCTAGGACCTAGACATCCTTACTTATAGTCTGGATCATCGAACTATTTTTTTTATCTAGTTATTACGTGAAACCAAAATCCCTTACTATGTTAATTTACTGTATACCAAAGCTCTATCAAGAAACCTTATACATATTGTACTGTTTCGCAGAATTTCGCTTCTCAGAGTCCTTCAGAAGACTTATTTTTTAGTATTTAGTAATTACTCGTATCAAAGTGATCTGGAACACGAGGTGAAGTAAAATACCTTATGACCTTGGGAATGGTTCTGACCTGGTTTATTGTGTTTATTTACTGGCATATTATTATACCATAATGGGGTTGTGACGACGTCAGCAAATTACATGCTAGTGGAAATTCGTTTAATGTTGTATGAGAGTAGCTGTTAGTACTTAGTAATATTAGTGTAGGTGGACCACGAAGGTAACTTCGTCTGTAAACCTGTAAATGTTTTGAGATTCTCAGTAGAGGCATTCAATTTGACTGCGAGGTTGGCGCGGTGGTTGGGCAACTGGCTGCCGCGCAACGTGTCGCGGGTTCGATTCAGAACAACTCGTTTTGCGATCCATAGATTGTTGTTTCAAGTCTGGGTGTCATGCACAGAACATATAAAGATGTGTATGTGAACTTGTATGTTTGTAAACGCACCCACGACACAGGAGAAAAACCTAGAGTGGGAAAAGGTTTAAAAAAAAAAAATTTCGAGCTACACAGCGTTTGTTAAAGAGGTTAGTGTTTCGACTTTTTATCTCTAAAATTCACTAAAGATCTTCAATAGCTGTTAAAACAAATATATCCTACATAAACCAAAGTAGAACACAATCAGCAGAGCAGAAACACGACTTGCCTCTTTAATCAAGAAACTAAAGAAAATTTCAATGCAATGAATCTTACTTAAAGTACAGAAGAAAGATTAAAAAATAATGCCTACGGAACTGCACGGTGTCGTCTCCACTCATATTTCACCTGAGCCTCTAATATATCACCGTGTTTACGCCAAGTTCCACTTAAAAACTTGCCGTAACAGCTTTTTGAATTAATACTACGGAGATACGGTAGCAGTAACTCAGTTAAAATGCATTATGCCAATTTTTTAATTTTAATTTTGTCTTTGGTATAGTTTGATTGTTTTGTTTTTTTTATATTTGATGGGCCGACGTTTGACAACTATGTCGCCTGATGGTAAGCGCTGATGCGGTCTACGATGGAGCACGTCGTCCCATAAGCAACCTATTCACTCGGGCCTTGAAGACTTCCAGGTTATATCGTTTAGGAAATACAGACTCTGGCAAAGAATTTCACTCTTTTGTACGTGTGTTTTATTAGTTAATATTCATATTTTTATCATATTTAATCCTTTCTAGTTCATTAACCTCGTCATCATCACATTAGCCACTCCAGAAGATATACTTTTCCCTAAAGACTCCCAAATCGGCCAATTAAAATCTAAAATAAGAATAATCAGTTGTTTATTTCTAAGGGATCAATTTAGACAGTAGCCACTTCTTTTGACTAAGTAATGTTTATGATTAGTAAGTGTAGTTATGTCTAAGTTATCTTTGAGTAGACAAGTGTGTGGCGTGAAAATACATATATTTAATTTGCAGTTGCCTTTTGTTAATACTGTCTTATTACATTATTAGGATTTACCATGCGATACCGTAAGAGTAGAACACACTTGTCACCATCCTGACTCTTACGGCAAGCATCGATTTAGGGACTACATTTAACAGAGACCAGGCAGCAGTGTTCTCTGACATACCTAACCCTTTAAAACTCGGAGCCGCGGAGGACTTAACAGGTTTTCGGGGCTCCGGTTCGAAGTGTAGGACTGCAATCTTTAACACTGCAATGTCCAACCCCTTCGCTATGATAAACTCCACATTTTTAAATGCCCTTAACTCTCATAGACTGTTGATAATGATATTGAAATTGGGTTAAGTTGGTAATATATCGTCGAATGTATTTACATTTGTGAGAAAAGATAAAATGACAGACATTAAAAATAAAATTTAGGAAACTACCCTATTATCGGAAACTCAGAAAATATAAAACCTCTAATTCTAATTCCAGACGTTCGCTCCGCAAGTCGGTGGCACATCAAGAAGAGGTAGCGCGTCAGCTGGACGAGCTGACGGACTACCGACCTTACTTTACGTGGTGGGTGAGCACAGTACAGACACTAGTGCTGCTATTGTCACTCCTGTGTTACGGGTTTGGACCTGTCGGGTTCGGCAGGCACACACATTCGGGACAAGTCTTGGTTAAGAGCTTGAGTTTACAGCAGGTAAGATATTATTTATACTACATTATAAGTAATGTTTTGGTATAAGCCGGTAAACGAGCAGACGGATCACCTGATGGTAAGCAGTCGGCGTCGCCCATGGACACCTGGAACACTAGAGGCGTTACAAGTGCGTTACCGGCCTTTTGGGGATTAGGAGTTTGAGGATCGTTGGTGATTTAGGAATTGGGGAGATTGGGGAAGAGAAGGGCAATTGGGCCTCCGGTAACTTCACTCACACGACGAAACACAACGCAAGCGTCGCTTCACGTTGGTTTTCTGTGAGGTCGTGGTATCACTCCGGTCGAGCCGGCCCATTCGTGCCGAAGCATGGCTCTCCCACACTTATTGGGCTTGTATGTGTTATATGTAGTCAAAAATGTTGTACAATGGTTATTTAATATGCGCATATTATCCGGGCTTAAATGTCTTATCAGTGTGTACTAATTCATTGTCCAATCATGATCAGTGGGTATTAAAATAGCTATGAACGTCTTATGAAAAGTAGTGATTAATTTTGACCAATAAAAATATTCCTATTACAACATTTTTAGCATAAAATAACAAACATCGGAAACGCAAGACCAAAATAATAGAAGAGACGGTTTGGACTGATTTCGACGAAAAGAGATACAAAAACACTTCGCTTTTTCTATACACAGCTTAGTCTAATAATCGGAAAGTTTATTGATCAGAGAAGGTCGTTATAAAATCTTTAAATGATTTCAACTGTACCCAATATTGGTTAGACATGCTCTTATACTAACAAATCCTATTTTCGAAGAATCGAAAATATATTTAATATAGCTTTCTTACATTTTTTACCATGATAAGACTGATCATTTTCAGTTTCCAACACATTGGATATTGATTGCCTACTTTATTTTTATACTTGAATAGATAATTTTATGTTCCGACGCATATAAAACCCTTTTCGTAAGGAACTCGGTCCAAAATCGTGAAATGTCTTTTATGGCGTTACGACGGCCCCGAGTGATTTTTACAGATCACACGTCATATGAAAAACGTTTCATTTTTCATGACTGAAGTAAACACTTCACTTCTTTTCGTCTAAGTATTTATTTTAACCATAGGTTTATTATTATGTATTCGTCCACAGTTGAATCACAGAATAAATTTCGTTAAGAAAATTAAATGTGAAAATTTTATGTTATCAATTTTTTACCAACACAGCTTCTGCTTCTACTTTTGGAATAAACCTTCCTAATTTGAGTTCAAGTTATCCATTAACCTTACGTAATCTTGTTTTGGTCCCTAAACTTAACTGTTATTGACTGACATAGTAGTCCCTAAGCTTAACTTGTATTGACTGACCTAGATATTTCATCATTTTTAGCCAAGGATGCACATATATAGAAAGAAAGAAAGAAATAAAAACTTTATTTCACACGTACATACAAATTTTATGCGTAAGTTTAGAAATATCTATTAATGTCCCAAGTCTGCGGTGAAATGGGACCAGTTCGCTGACGATCTATAATGTGTTAGTGAATAGTTTGAAACAGCGCTGAAGGCTCGGTCGATCTCTAGGCTGCCTCGTCGACGAATTCGACGCAGCGTACAGCATAGAAACTGTTTCTTAGAGAATAGCATTGCATTTCAGCATGTGCAAGACAGGGCCTCGCGCTGGTATTCTACTGGGCCCTTTAAGTGACTCGTGGACGAACAAGTCATCAATTTGACAACAATAAACATATAAATATAAACATATAAATACGCATAAGAAAACAAATAAATAAACTCAATATAGGCGACATGTCGTGCGAAATTGGCCGATGTTGCCTGACATATACGGTAACAATGCGCGACTTATGTCCACAGCGAGGTTGATGTTACCAGAAAGGTCGACCAAAGGCCGGCAATGTCACGCTACTTCATTCGACGTCGCTGGCGACACGTGCAGGACATTTAAACCATAGTGTATCCTTGGCTTTAAGGGCGTTCTTAGCCCCAAAAATAACTTATTCACCCCTTTAGGCCCTCTGATAAAGTAAAACGTATTGTGAGACTTCTCCATACGTTTTCTAAAGACAGTCGTGCGTATCAGAAGTGGGTGAAGTTGTCTGTTTTATTTAGACATTATTCTCTCTTCATCCTTCAAATTCCGTTTCTTTGTGTAGGTTAGACTTAGCATAACAACGTTGAACGTGGCAAAGCTTTTAGACAAAACATGTTCCCCAGGTTTAATGTCTGAGAATGTTCTGAACAATTCGCGTTATTATTTACTTGTGTGGATAATATCACTCGTTTGTCTAGATTTCAAAATTTTACTCATGCCTGGTTTAGAAATAGCGTTGTCGATGAAACATTTTCAGAAGATCATAATGAATCACTTTACCGTTAAATACTTGAACCATTTATTTTCTTAAAAATGGTCTGTAAAGTGCAAGCTGTAATAGACAATACGATTTACGATTTTGTGTTCCAATGCAAAGTGATCAATCAAAATCAATCAACAAAACAAATCAAAATAATTATAGTGTCGTGAGTTCTGACTGTTTTACATTAATAAGACACTGAATATTATTAACAAATTCACAAACGCAATAACTTCATTGCACTGCAAAACAAGAACAGAAAGTTAAACGCAAAAATGTGCAATAAAGTCAAGAACTTTATTTACTGTACGTACTCGATATGAAATTAACAATTAGCAAGTAGGAACCACAAAGGGTGTACGTATTCATTGTGACGCAAGGAAAAGCGTCACAAAGTAAGAGTATTAGCGAGCGAGCTCGGTATGTAGGTCACACAGTCTTTGTGAGCCGGTCCCTTTTGTCTGCTTTTTGCTGCTTAGCGCAGTCTTTCATGATGCTATCTTTTAGCAGCGAGTGACCGCAAAAGGTCCGTCTATAGATGTAATTTTTGGCCGATTGTACTTTTTTAGTCCATTGTTTCTGTTTGTAATTAAACAAACAAGCTTTTGTTTGTCTGTTTATTTACGAATCATTATTTATTCAAATATATTGACTTAAATAAAAAAGTGTGCGTAATAATATTGTGTATTGTAATTTAGGTTCACATTATATTTGTTTTTGGCATGTTCTAGTCTAGAGTATCATTTATAAATTTTCGTCGTTTCGCCAAAAACACGAAATATTTATCAAGTTGGCAATTTTGTAAATATCTCGTTTCATAGAGAGGTACTTAGAGATAATGAGTCTGCTTTTGAACTTATATTTGGGTTTAGTCTTTATAATGTAGTACCAAGCTAATATTAACTTGGCTCTCGTGTTTATTTTCCATAACAATGAGAATCAGTAATGAATTAGGCTTAAAATGTTGAAGTATATTATTGATGACTACTTCATCATCATCAACAGCCTATAAATGCCCACTGCTCATGAGCAAAGCCTCTTCTCACAGGGAGCATTAATCACCACGCTTGCTCACTGCGGGTTGGTGATTACAAACTTATAATTAGAAATACTTATAAGCCCAGGTTTCCTCACGATGTTTTCCTTCACCGTTTGTCACTGATGTCTAAATAATCTTAGAAAGTACATTTAACTCGGAGAAATCACATTGGTACTTGCCGTTGGTAGGTGTTGAAACTGCACCCTCATGCATGAGAAGCGGGCGTCTTAAACCTCCAAGCCACCACGAATACTTATGTAGGCTGATAACTACTTATGTAGGCTGCATAATTATTTTAGTAGTCATAGAAATAACTATGAGAGGTACTTGATGTCCCAGTCGCACAAATCATTGCATTTAAGACTATAAAGAATTTGAAAAGAGACTGCTGATCACGTCAAAGATCTTTTAAGATAGTATTGATGAATGTTTATCTTTTTTTGACTTCTTACATTAAATGTTTCTTTGATTGAGTTTCTTTCAAAAATTGGTCGTAATCATTTGTGTTTTCATTTTAGCCGTTAGTTTTATATGTGATAGTTTAAAACTGACTTCTCATAATTAATTTTTCAATTTCCAGGTCGAATGGGAAGAACCAGCCTCATTTTGGCTGGGACCTCGGGCAGCTGACTTAATACATTTAGGAGCTAAATTCGCTCCATGCATGAGGAGGGACGCAAGGATAGCGAGGGCAATAGCCGCTTCAGCTAGGAGAGAAAGAGACACAGCATGCTGCATACGAAATGATGATTCAGGATGTGTGCAGTCCTCTAAGGCTGATTGTTCGGTGGGTATTAGTTCTTCCAGGAGTTTGGCATTGATGCTTTTGGGCAGGAATTGAGGGATTGTTGGTTTTTGAGGTACATGTGGTAACGGTAGAATAATTATAATACCTACATTTGTTACCACCGACTCTATCCGCGGGTGTCATTTATTTCGACTATCGCGTTAAAAATTTAGCAAAGACCTAGGTGCTTACTCTTTAAACCAATCTCAATGTCAATGCAATTTCAATCCAATCAAATCTCATAAATTATTTGAAGTCAAAACTATACTACCCTTATCATAAAGCTGTTAAAATAGTATTCACAGTACGAAATGTAAAGCCAAAATCAATACCATTTAGTTGTCGCGGAGAACCTATCGGGTAACCGGGGCTCCGGCTCGACGTGCAGGAGAAGGAACGGGGCGGTTTTTAGTCAGTAAGAGTCTGACATTCCCTTCCGCCTCACCCAGGCGGGAGCAGACATTCGATGAAAAAAAATATACCATTTAGTTCCTTTAATATCCACGCAAAACAGATGCAATGGGCGCTAGTATTGCAACTCAAGAGTACGAATTTCACAATACCAATGTCCATCGATTGGAATTGAATTCAAGAGTAAGCCCCCAGGTAGCAGTGCTCCCTGATGCAATGCAAAAATCACAATTCTAATTTTGAATTGTTAAAATAACCCGGTTTTCCAGTTATGTCATTGGTCCCATGTAATAATAGCTTATCTTATTCTATGGTTATAAGTTCGCCTGTTTGGTGTGTACATATTTATACTGAACGTATAACGATAATCTTGTATAACATTCTATTTTTGCGCACGCTTTCAAATAGATAAGAGGATTAATATCAAAGGTATGTGTCTGAGCCGATATTGATGTCTTTTTAGGTTAAGGTAGTATAATATGCGGTGCTAGTAGAAAAATCGTTAAGGATAATATTATTCACGATCCTTTTGAAATAGATTCGCAATTACACGTAACATGACACATTTGCCTAAGACAGAAAGTGTACCAAGTGTCATCGTCTTATAAAAAAAAACTTCATCAAACCATGATAGCAGGTAGAATCGGTCAGAATCGATTCAGATCAATGCACATTATAGGAAAAGCGCCTGAACATAATCTAATAATAATCTTTCAAATCTTCATCGTGTAATGAAACAGGACATAATGGTGAAGATGTATCGTGTAGTTTGATTTAATATTAAGTGTAGCTAATTGTGCATGTTAGTGTAAGTCGTCAAAATGCTTCACGCTCCTTGGGTCAAACCTCGTATTGAGCGAAGCACAAGCTTGTCAACCGTGAACTTTGTTTCGTCTACCTTTCAGAACACGATCTCGACGTGGAAGAAATGGTCATCGGGAGAGTCGGGGCCTGGCGGTCGGATATCAGGGTCCGTTTGCGGATTAGATCCCAAGTGAGTACCTACTCTTAAATTACCTGCTAATCACTGCTTATTCAGGTAAAGCTCTCTTCTAAATTCTTGCCATTAATACTATATAACGTAAAGAAACATGGAACGATCCGACATTTTATTCTAAACATTGTACTTCTCCTCCTTCTATTAAAACGTATAGAGTGCAAATTACTATTGCAGATTTATAAGGTCTTTTGTAATTTCCCGTTTGACTCGGAATTAGATCAAAGCAAGATATTGAGATATAGATGAACGTTGATAGACTTGTCTGTACGTAATCTTGTAATTTACAGGTTTTGTGAAGCACCGCGTTCGATAGCACCTCATGAATGGCCGGATGATATCACAAAATGGCCGATCTGTCGCAAATCAGTTCTAGACGGGTCTGCGGCCGCTGGTCGGGCAGGTCACGCGGCAGAACATATGGCCTGTGAGGTCATTGGCCATCCCTGCTGTATAGGAGTCCACGGGCAATGTGTCATCACCACTAGAGAACACTGTGACTTCGTAAAGGGTTATTTCCATGAAGAAGCGTCATTGTGTTCACAGGTTAGTTGTGTTTGATTTTTTTAAGTTAACTATTTGATGAATTGGTGATTCTCAACCCCCCATAAGAGCTCTGTCACCAAGTATTAACCAATTTCAGTTCACATCAAAATACCTGATTATGTTACTGTCTACGAAGAATTTATTTTTATAATTTTAATGAATATCTACTTTCAATTCCAGGTATCTTGTCTTGACGACGTTTGCGGCATGTTGCCTTTCATGCGGCGACGTCGACCAGACCAGCTGTACCGCGCGTGGACGTCATTATTTGTCCACGCTGGTTTATTGCACCTGGCAGCCACACTGGCGCTGCAGTGGCTCTTCATGAGGGACCTGGAGAAGATGGCCGGGCCAGTTAGGATAGCTGTCATATATTTAGGAAGTGGGGTCGCCGGGAATATGGCATCTGCCATATTTGAACCTTATAGAGCGGAGGTAAGTTACTGATTATGCATCATTTCTATTTATTGTAGGTATGGTACCAGATTCCATGGGCTCGTGAAAATAGCATTTAATGTTTATTTTTCTATTCCAGGTGGGGCCAGCTGGATCACATTTTGGTTTACTGGCGTGTCTAATAGTAGAAGTAATAGGGGCGTGGCCTCTCCTGAGGCATCCGAAACGAGCAATTTTAAAACTAGTCGGTATAGCCATAGCGTTGTTCCTCCTGGGTCTTTTACCCTGGATTGATAACTTCGCGCACGTATTTGGCTTCGTGTTCGGATTCTTACTAGCGTATGCGTTACTGCCATTTATAACCTTCGGTCCTTACGAAAGACGAAGAAAGATCGCATTAGTGTGGGTCTGCATGGTGTCGGCGGGCGGGATGTTGTGCGCGCTGGTCGCGTTGTTCTACGCGGCGCCGGCGTACGAGTGTGCAGCGTGTGCGTACTTTACGTGCTTACCGTTCGCGCCGGACATGTGCGCGTCGCAGGACGTGCGCGTGCGTCAGCTGGACGGGGTATGACGGCGCGCGGCCCGGGCGCCCCCGCCGCCGCCGCCCCCCCGCCCTGTGTGCCGCGCGCCCCGCCCCGCGTGCGCCCGCCCCGCGCCCCCCGCGTGCTCGCACGTCCCGCGCCGCGCTGTCGCCTAGCGCCTCACCCCCGCCGCCGCCCAGACCTCAAACCGTCACCTCGCTCTTACAGCGTTACTACAGAAACTCAGCGCTCAGTTATCGCGCTATTGAAACAACCCCTCTTGATGTCGATCTTATGATTGAGATTTATAAATAATCGTGCGCAATAGGCATTTACTGTTTACCTGCTAGGTATAACTTGGTGGGGTCAATGCTGAAAACAAATTCAGGCTTATGATATCTATAATACAAGTTAAATAGGTGTAACCTATTCGTTGGCCAACTTGAGTTTCTGTATTGAGTGTGCTGTATCGCTACTGCCCACTAGTACGAATGTGTCGGTATGAGAGTGAGCTCTAGTTACTACCTAGGCGATCTTTTAAGATTTTATAATCGTCGAACTAGATTATAAAAGTGTATGCGAATATTCAATCGATTATTTAATTTATCGATAAAGACGTATTGTTACGTGTTAAAGTTTGTTGTTTTATGGACTCACTGATTTGTACTTGAATTTCAAGAGAGCGGTCGAATTTATTTCACATGCATTTTTTCCAATACTATAAATAATGTCATTCTAAAATGCTATGTTTAAGTCTGATTTTGTAAAATAATTGACATGCGATGTTCATTAATGGCTGCCGATATGCATATGAAATATATTCGATCGAAATCGGATTACGAATAAAAAAAATAAAATAAAAAATATTGTGCTAAATCCACGGATATAGAACTTGCAATGCGGACGCGACTTACTAATGTAAATATTCTGTAAAATAATGTACTAATGTTACGGTGGAAAGTGAGTCGTACTATGTGTGGTTACGTTTCGTTTGCGTGCGTCTTACGGGACCACTGTTACGTCACATTGTACATTACTAACTCTGTATTTATACACTACATTTTTACTTATGTACACAGAACTATCATTGCATTTCGCACACAAAACAATAGTCTCTTCTACATTTCCTCTCCGCAAATGTGACCTAACGCGTTCCCGTAACAGTGTCAAATATACATAATTTAGTATATTACTAAATAATGTAAATATAAACAAAAAAAAAATCACATATTTTTCATCTATTCAGTTCACCGTATATGAACGAATTCAGTCTATGTATAAGTACTTATTCTAATGGATTTTTAATTTCGTCAATTTATATAGCTGTATCAAGTCTGCGTAGTATTACGTTTGTTTTATATTATATGCTAGTATATATACTAAACAATTATATTTAGGGATATTTATTTTACTACAAACAGGTTAGGAGACTTTATAGTTCACTATCATTCATACTTTACATGTTTTATTACGAATTTACATTTAATACTAGTCACTATGTTAATTATAATATTTTTTAGTTTAAAAAGAACAATGTAAATATATATAAATTTAATCAAGCGAAAGTGGTGATCATTGTAATTAAACAGTTATTTTGCTAGGGAATGTTAATCGGGGATTGTGTGTGTGAGAGTGTGTCTGAACATTTTGTACAACTGCCATGATACCATTGTAGATATATATACATATATAAGAGTCGTAAGAATATGTATTAACTCCTAAATTGCGCACATGCCTAGTTTATTTCTATGAATGTATCCGTTTGGGGACACTTAAGTGGCGTCCGTGGGTTATTACTTCTACTTGAGTCAATGACTAATCTAATGACTGATTATCCTTACAAGCAATTGCCACACTACGCCAGTCTAGTAATTTACACTTCGTTTAAATAATTTGAGGAACAGGGGACTTACAGAATTGAATTATGCTCTGTGGACGACCATTTAAGTGTTGACAAATGGTTATGAAAGGATATATTTTTATAGCTATTTTGATTATTGTACTTTTTCCTTATCGTCTGTGCTTTAAAGTTTATGTTGAACTTTCAAAATGGCAATTATAAGTGTATTCCATGAACTCTGGTTTTTGAAAGGTTCTTCATACAAGATTCATCAAGAATACTAAATGTAATAAAGCGACTGTGTATTAAATATATCAATATATATACAAGGTGTTGTTTTAAAGCCGCGTCATTTTCTAGGAGGTAACTCGGCTATCGATTCTTAGCCCGAATCAATAAAAAAAATTGTAGGTAAATATTTTTCATTTTTCTGTAATTTACGGAAATCCGTAATTGCGAACTACACGCCGCCGTCTTGAAACCAGCTTTATAACGCGGCTTAACATACACAAAGTCAAACACGTAATTGATATTATTCCTAATTCCATAAAACAACAATAAGAAGCATTGCTGTCCCTTATTCTGAAATACTGTCGTACTTAAATTATTATTATTATTATTTAACACTTTATGTACAACTGTATACAATGGCGGACTTAATGCCGAATGGCATTCTCTACCAGCCAACCATAAGGTGATGCAGAGAAGTGTTACAGTAGGCTTTAAAAGAAGTTTGCATCTATCGAAAAAAATAAAAACGAGGGTGATAAATGTACGTACATATGTATAAACGATTTATTATATCCGTATTTTTAACTATTGGCCCGAAATTGTCTCTTACATTGAACCTTTATGACTTCTGTGACATGCCCCCGAGAAATGACACGGCTTCAAAACTACACCTTATATATGCTACAGACTCCTAAATTCATAATTATAAAACATTTATTAGATGAGGTCATTACTTAATGTTTTTATATCCTTTTTATTTCTAACCTTAGAAAATATTCTTATTATTTTTTTTTACACTTCTATAAGTATTTCAGAATAAAATGTACTACTTTTTCTTATGATTGCTATTTATAATTTCATATTTGACTAGTAGTTCAAATACAGATTTAAATAAATATCAATTAAAAAAAGAATCAGAAGAAGCACAAATTTGTCGAGTTAAACGAAACTCTTTTGTCCAATGTGCATTGGCTACTAGGTATCCAATTTTTTTTAATCAATGCACAAAAAATGTGTCCCCTATTTTTTTAATAAAAAAAAGCAATAATCGCTATTATGTATTTGTACTTCATTATAATCAGCACAAATAAAAAAAATACAAATATAGTATTGGAAAGGTCTGAATGTATCAAAATTAACATTTTGTTTAGCACAATTAATAATTTTAATTACTGTTATACATATATTATATTTAGTTATGATTTTTTCTTCCTTAAAAATGTTTAAAGCGTTTACGCACGAAATCTGAAAGGCTACTCAATTTGAAATCGTATTTAAATATCGTGCCATCTCTGTCATTTTACAAAGAATTTACAGAGACAGAACTATACTTCTGTGCGGCTTCAAATTGAGGAGCCAATGAGTATGTGGACATTAGTTGTGTAGGCACTCATTTACTTCTTATGAATTAATATTAATTAGTGTTTAACGTGTTTGTTAACAGTAAAAAGGCTTTTGGTGAATTGTCACTTAAGTTATTTTGCTATCAATGCTAAATATACTTAACTGACTTCATTATAAAGTTGATTTTACAGTACACAGACGCATAAATTTTGCTCAGTCTCCAATAAATGTGCAAAAAGCAATAAAAAATAATTGAATGTTGATGACAGAAGTGTGAATAGTGTATTAAAATAATTATTATTTTAAAAAATAATAATTTTGTTTAAAAAAGTTAAATATTTTTATACCTACAATACCTAATACTTATGTTTGGAGTATGTATTTCGAACTGTCGAACATATTGTATCTGATTCTAAAGTCAGTATTTGTAAAAATGCACATTTGTCACCAAATTCCTTTAAAAATGCCATTCTATTGACTTCTCTGTACAAGGATTAAAAAATATACAAATATATAATGAAAAAAAAATGTGAATCCTAATAGAGTGTCATTGTCATTTGTATTGTTTTCTTGATTGTATCGGAAAATACTGTGGAAAGAATGTGACGCGATGCACTTTGATTGGCTGCTTTTAGAAATGCCGTAACGCTGATTGGCGGCATTTCATTGAGCAACCAATGAAAACGCGTTGCGTCACATCATGGTTTTGATAATCATTCCCAGCTTTACTGTTACTACTCTGTATCCATTCTATCAATTATATGTATAGTTATTGTAATATTGTTAATTATCTCGGTTATCAGCTATGATTTTTGTTGTAAAGTGTTTGACTGTGTGCGTGAAGTTCTCGATTACTTTCTTTGAAAATCTTACAGTGACATACGTTATCTTGAAGTGCCCTTGAGCCCGGCGGCCCGGCGAACTAATCTCAGATTAAGACAAAAAAACTTACATACATAATTGTACATTGTGAACATACACCTAATTATTACTTATATGTTAAGTATGGTAAAGTAATCTTATTGTAAACTAGTATTAATCGAACAAGAAACCTTATTATCATAATATTGGTGTGTTTTATTTGACGCTCGTTCAATTTACAGGCTCGATAATCTCTATATAAATACTACTAGACTATCCAAATATCTCAGCAACTCCCAACTTAGGTTGTCTGATGTTCATACTTTCAAGGACATTCCTTAAAATCATTGTTTAAGATAGTTTTCTGACAAGTAAGGCTATCTCGAAGCCCTAAACTGCAAATCAATATATAGAAGATAGATATGTAAATAATATATAAAATTCTTTCATTTTGTATTTCATGTCTGTATCATGACACGTTTCCTTGACCGATGTTCATTAAGTCTTCTTAACTTCAATAAACCTGAAGAAGGCCGGTGTTTATCGTAAAGCAGGTTCGAAACCCGCATGGAAGCTTTAAGAGTCTACTAATAAAAAGTTTCAGGTTCAATTCTCAGATAAAGCAAAGACATTAAGGTGTATAATTTGCAAAATCTAAAGTAGGTATAGAGTTTATAACTTTCAATGGTGTGTGGCTAAGAGTTTTGTGCTTTTTTATTATTATCTTCAAAAAATACTAACTTGTATTGAAAAATTCTACCTTTCTAGATAAGTTATTTTAAACTGCGTAATATATAGGATATAGGATAATATAAAGATAGGCAAAGATAAAGGTTGACACACGTGTCCTGATTATAGGTACCACTAGAAGGTATTAATTCAAGATCTGCTCTTACAGCATAATGCAGGTAATATCAGTTCTTGGTAGGTATGATGAAAGAAATGATAACAGTATTTTGCATTATAATAATAGGTAATAATAAACCGGCTTGTCGACTGCCTCGTTGGCCGAGTGGTCGCAAGTGCGATTGATCCATTTAAGCCTTTGCCGGCAAAAAAACTGTTGAAGGCACCAGTGACTACGTGGCGGTTAACGTGTTAAACAGCAATTTCCAGCCCGCCAGCCAAGTGTTTGTGGTGATTATTCTTATGGTCTTCTTCTGTACATGTACTACCAGCAGTGTCACAGGTATCAGGCCTCCGGTAACCTCAATCGCAAATTCACAAGGCTCTATCATAGGTATCCTTTTGGCATTATTTTTATACACCAATCACCTTGAGGGCTTTGACGTATATCTACACGGTTATTTAAACCGACAAATAATTTAAATAGTTTACGGATAAATTTTTCACGTATTCTATACTTATTTAATTCACTTTGAAGGTCGACGTAAAGTATGTAGTAATTTTTTCAGCTGTTTGTATACAGCCCTTATTACATGAGTCAGGCCATACCATACCATTCGTCAGGTAGATAGGTATATTTCGTGCTATGTCAGAATATTCAAAAAGCTGAAAGTACTACTATTTTCTTCAACACAAGGGCAAGGGAGACAGAATCAAGGTTATCATCATCAGCATTACTCGTGGTAGTTGATAAATAAGACAATCGAAGAAGTGTCAAAAATCTGGCCTTGATGTCAATCCGTGAGCCCCAAATCCTAAGCCAGGTCAAGGTCAAGGCTTCAAGGTAAGGCTAAAAACATTGGTGACACGAATAGATCCTGATATATTTACAAGGGACGCACAGGGTGTATTCTAAAATATCTAAGTTTTATAATCTATTTTTTTTTATTTATTGCCCCACACTAGGATTTTCGTGGGTGCGTTTAAAAACATAAACATACAAGTTCACATACACATGACACCCACACCCGGAATAACAATCTGTGGATCACACAAATAATTGTTCCGTGCGGAAATCAAACCCGCGACACGTTACGCGGCAGTTGCCTGGCTGCCCAGCCACCTCGCCAACCGTGCAGTCTTTGACTCTGGTTTTCGATATATTGACGCAAATGCATACTTGAACAAGGATGTTGTAAAAGGCTGGACATAATCTTTTAAAACAATGACTGTGGCACCTGGCTACTATACTTACACGCACAATAGACACACATTGACACAAAAGACATCTGTAGCGTGACATGGCCCGTCATTACCTTTCATACATTACAGTGTTGCAAGTACACGCACACATATATAAACTATAGACATTTTGGACATTTTGGTGCTTCAATCCCTTCTAAGTGACATTAAGTCAGCCTTTTTTCAACGTCCTGTTACTTGAACATCAAATTATGACAATTGATGAAATAATAATCAGAAATGTTTCATAAAATACCAGTTTTGTATATCCCTGGGAAAACCAGTTGATACCGAATCGAATGTCATTTGCTATCAATTTGCTTTCAATCCACAAAAGGCGGTTAATAATATTCAGGGGCGGTCACAAGCTTTCATTGGAAGTATCATCTATTTGATGTATAGGTACCTACCATTCACCATCTAAATGTACATCAATACTGCCAATCAGATCAAGATAAGTTTATCAATAAAAGGTCAGTGACAAAATAAAAAAAGACGCAATAAATACGACTTTAAATCCACTTGAAATAAGGCTTAGGTACTATTTCTTTGTAAAGTACCTATTTACCGATGCAGTGACGTCTTAAAACAAGAGGTTGATGAAGACACGTGCCATCTCGTGCCAAGATTATTTTTGTCAAACACAGATAGGGATCGTTGTTGTGGTACGTGCTGTAAAGTAGAAGGAATTATAAATACAGAAATATTTCAAATATTTAGTTCAAGCTGATTGCAGAAGCTCTAGTTTTCAAGATATCTATTAATTTACTATCAATACTTATTGGTCTATATTGATTTTGTAAATAGACCCATTATAGGTTAGGTTAGCTCTAGGTTATTGCTATCCTATCCCAT